GCTGAGCCTGGCGCCAGGCAATAAAAACGAAACCTCTCTGCCTCGGAGACACGGAGCTTGTCTTTCTGGCTTCGCGGACGCTGTTAATTAGGATTTATGTCCGTGGTGGAACTCGAGGAAGGCCGCCCCTCGTCGTCCCGCCTCACTAGCTGGACACACGTGTCCACATGCTGTTTTTCACCTCCCTGTCGGGCACGAGCCCTTCTGAGCTCTGCCCTCGGCAATGCACGAGCCGGGCTTCAGAATTGCGCGCAGGAGACGTGATGGTCGGCACCACAGCAGCCACTCTGGGGCCAGTGGGCGCGTGGCGAGGCGGGAGAGCGGCTCGGGGAGGCTGGCGGAGACCGCCACGGATGCGCAGCTTTGCCAAAGCCTCGCCTCCCTCCTCATTGTTCTCCTGTTGGTCCCGCTCGTCCTGACTCAGCCGTTGAGAACTCAAAACGGGGCCGATGCTCAAAGCGCCACGGACCTCGGTTTCTGCAGCTCGCCGAGCCGCGTGCACCAGAGAGGCAGAGCTCCTCGGCGTAGACACGTTTGCGGACTCGGGCCGAGCACGGGCCACGGACGTTAATGCCGTGGAGAAGCCCGCACGGCCACGGCTCGGCCGCGTCTTCATTCCGGGGGCGCGTGCAGAAAAGTCTTCAACACAAAAATAGAAATAGTTGCAAGTTTACCGCTGATTAACTCGCTCCAGCAATTAGGCAGAACAATAAAATTCAATTTAGCCCACTAATAACTGTAGGGGGAGTTTAATTGGGAGACAGACGAAATCCTAGATGATTGCTGTTGTCTACAGTGCGCGAGTGCACAGATGGAAACTTTGCTCAAATTTGCACGGGTGGTTTTATTTCATTTATTTGTTTAAGCAGAGAAAGAGCCTGTATCTGACATCCATCCATTTATTTGTCTATTTCTCTCTCTCTCTATCTACCTGCCTGTCTGTCCATCCCTTCACCCATCCCTTCATCCTATGTGACTGTCTCTGTGAATCTTATCTATCCATGCATGTATCTACCATCCATCCACCCAGCTATATTTAATCTGCCTACCTACCCTACCTACCTATCTGTCTATTCATCCATCCATCCATCCATCACTGATCTATCTACCTGTCACCTACCTGTCTATCCATCTATCCATCATCCTGCTATCTACCATAGATCTATGCATCCATGTATCCATCAATCCATCCACCCACCCATCTATCTGCCATCTATCCATCCATCCATCCGTCATCTATCTATCATAAATCTATCCATCTATCAGCCATCCATCCGTCCATCCATCATCCATCCATCCATCCATCTATCCGTCATCTATCTGCCATCGATCTATCCATCCATCCATCTATCTGTTATCTATCGATGTATCCATCCTTCCATCCATCTGTTATCTATCTACCATAGATCTATGCATCTATCTATCCATCCATCCATCCGTCATCTATCTATCTATCTATCTATCTATCTATCTATCTATCTATCTATCTATCTATCATCTATCTACCATCCATCTATCCATCCATCCATCCATCCATCCATCCATCCATCCATCCATCTGTCATCTATCTATCTATCCATCTATTTATTCCTCTATCTATCGTCCATCCATCTATCTATTTATTCCTCTATCTACCTACCATAGATCTATGCATCCATCTATCCATCCATCTGTCATCTATCTATCTACCATCGATCTATGCATCCATCCATCCATCCATCCATCCATCCATCCGTCATCTATCTATCTACCATCGATCTATCCATCCATCCATCATCCATCTGTCACCTATCTATCTATCTACCATCGATCTGTCCATCCATCCATCTGTTATCTATCGATCTATCCATCCTTCCATCCACCTGCATCTATCTATCCATCTATTTATTCCTCTATCTATCGTCCATCCATCTATCTATTTATTCCTCTATCTATCTACCTACCATAGATCTATGCATCCATCTATCCATCTATCCATCCATCTGTCATCTATCTATCTACCATCGATCTATACATCAATCCATCCATCCATCCATCCATCCATCCGTCATCTATCTATCCATCCATCCATCCATCAGTCATCTATCTATCTATCTATTATCTATCTATCTACCATCGATCTATCCATCCATCCATCTATCTGTTATCTATCGATCTATCCATCCTTCCATCCACCTGCCATCTATCTATCTATCCATCTATTTATTCCTCTATCTATCCATCTATCGTCTATCCATCTATCTATCTATTTATTCTTCTATCTATCTACCATAGATCTATGTATCCATCCACCCATCCATCCATCCATCTGTCATCTATCTCTCTATCTATCCATCTATCTACCATTGATCTATCCATCCATCCGTCCGTCCATCCATCTATCTACCTACCTATCATCTATCTGTCTATCTACCTACCTACCTACCTTCCTTTGTATCTATCTTTACAAGGTCCTTGAGGACACATTAACTGATTCGGATCAGAACAAACTGAACATATAACCTAAGCTAGAGAGAGGCCAGAGGCATCGCTGTCACAGAGTCCCAGCCCCCGCCTTCTCCCACGACAGGCAGAAATGCCCTTCATAGACGTTTATTTCAGCTGAATTAGGAAATTGTCCAAGAGCGCTCAGTCGGAAGAGTGATTGTGACAATCTCTTTGACCCCGCGGCCCCTGCTGTTCCAGCCTGAGGTAATCCACCATCTGCCAACCAACTGTGTCTCTGCAACAGCTGGAGTCATCGTCCTGAAGCCAAGCCAAGGCTGGATTTGTTTTAAGTAAATGAGTCTCCGGCTTGAGAACGGCAGAATAATACAGATCCCACTGTTGATCGATGCCCGTGGCCTGGCGTCTGCTCTGACAGCCTCGAATGTTCTCCCACCTGTGCCCAATCACTCCGTGGACAAAGCACCATTTTTTTTGTGCTCCAGAAGTAACTCACCCTCTGCGCGGTGCCCGTGAGGGTTTCTTCTGAAGCCCACAAGCCCACTGTGACTGCGGGGCTGCTGGGAACCGCTCGGGCTGTCCAGCCTGGCGGCGGACGGGGGTCTCGTTGTGTGCTCATGAGTAGGGCCTTCGCCTCCCAACTGGCTCAGCGCAGGCTCAGCATGCAAGCTGGAGACGAGCGGCCTCAAGGCCAAGGCCAGCTGGACCCAACCCAGGCGGGTTTCCCCGGGTGGACCCCGGACTCCCGCGCCTGTGTCTACACCACGTGACAGCGGCTTCCTGTGTCCCCACCTTTCAAATGGTGGGATTCGAGTCATGGCTAAAGTCTAGTGGAAAGCTCGCATCGAGGGTCATGTGTAGCTGTGAGACACGGGCCAAGTTTGCCTGGATGCTAGCGGTGAGCGTATGGAGCGAAGGAAAGCCGGCGTCTTGTCACACCCTTGCCGATGGCCGACATGGGCATCTCTGGGGCAAGACGGGTGGACCCGGGAGGGAGGATGCTGATGCCTGATGGTCCCACGACAGGGTCCTTGCATGCTTACGATCGCCAAGTTACAGCGACAATCCCAGTGCCCGGGAGAGTTGACTGGATTGAGAGAGTGGGTCAATACACACACGAGGGAATACTACTCAGCCATGAAAAAGGTTCACGCGTCCCACTCTCGGCCTAGGGTTGTTGCTGCCTTGATGGTGGTGACGTACATGTGAAGAAACGGGGATCGATTTTTGTTTTTATATGTGATATAGAGGAAACTGGCATTATCTGGATAAAAATAATACGAGTTTTATTGAAAAATACCCAAGTGCGTAGAGTCTTTATACTTTACAGACAGGCCGGTTACTACTTGTGACATCAGTTACATTTCTATTGATTCTTCTTGTCTAGCTCTGTGTTGTGACTGGGCTCGTGTATTAGGTTCCATTATGTGGGTCGTATTCTAGAGCGTTGGGAGTTAGGGTCGACTTCACGATTTTGCCTCCCTCACTCAAAGGTCCTCCCGTGGAAACGCTGAGCATTTTTCTCACCAGCTTCTGAAAAAAAAATAAATTATACAAATAAAGCGACTTAAACACGTGAACAAAACCCCAGGAACTTTAGATACGGAAACATCCAGCATCACGGGGTGCTGTCACTCAAGTCTCAATTATTTTGCTTTGCAGAGTGAATTAATTACACAACGTGTGTTTCACTAAGCGGACTGGAGCTCTTTAAATTCAGATTTATAGTGTCTGGTGGCAAATGTCTCCTGGTCTTGGTTTCATTTTCTGGCCATCGCCGTTCGTCACGGCAGAGATTGTTGTGATTTGTCTCAATTCATTCAGAGGTGACAGGCATGTCTTCAGTCTCCGGACACCTCAAAGACAGAAATGAAGAGTTCCCGCCTCTAATGCGTTCGGAACCCAGCAGAGTAGCTACCAGACGAGAAAGGGGGAAAAACGTGCACGGGTTGCGCCTGATTATTTTCACTGACGAATCATCTTCTTGATGTCACCTGTTCTGTGCTTGACAAAGTCTGTTGACCTTGGAGAACACGTGGCTTCTGCTTTTCTTTCGCAGATTTTAAGAGTTTATTTTGTTCTTGAGTTCTCTACTCGGAAAGGCTGCTCTCTCACGGTAGCTTCTGCGAACACGGCTGTTCTTACTATTGTGAGTATTTCACGGGAGGGAGGTCAAAGAGCCCAGCACACGGGCCCCATTTTCCCCGGCGTGGGCGATGCGGACAAGGGGGTGTTGGCCGACCGTGTGTGTGCATATCTGAGGACGGGCTCAGTGCCACAAAGCCAAGATCTACTCTTTGGTTCGATAAATGCGTCCCGGTTACCTGGATGTCAGGGTCAGGGATCACCCAGAGAAGGCGAGCTGCTGTTATTATTCCGCATTCTTGGGAGAAGCCGACAGGGTCATCTTTGGGACAAGAGGGGTGGGTCTGGAGAGGAGGAAAACGGGGAGAAACAGCAACACTGGATGACGTCACTTCACGTAACAGAGAGAACCCGGAACTCAGATGAATCATTTAAGAAGACGAGGCCAAGAGACAGTGGAATACTACTCAGCCATGAAAAAGGTGAGGCGTCTCTGTTTTCGACAGCCTGGCTGGAACCGGAGAGGGTGACGCTGTGCGGAATTAACACAAGCAAAACGTATCTTGGTTGGGGTGAACACTCGTCATGTCAAGGTCTAACGTGTAGAGACTTTGAGCGGGAACAAGAGAACTGAACGTGGGTTAGCGTATGCGTATATCGGGACGAAAATGCCACATTTGGTAAAACAGAATGCCACCCACGCAAGCCGTTGTCTCCAGCTTCTGGCAACTTTGGATGTGTCTTGCCGAACTCAAGGCTCTGGAGATAACGCGGCTCTCACTTGCAAATGAAGACCGCGGCGAGCGAGCGAGTCCGGAACGCGGTTTCCAGGCTGGCGCTCGCAGAGGCCGCGAGAAGGCGGTGAGTTCTCCTCTGTCCTCCCTGCCACCGTCCGGCCTGGCCGACCCACCTGTCACCGGCTGACGCATTTGCATTCGGGCCGTGTCTTCTGCTGCCATTCATCACGCGCGCTCTGGGTCTTCTTGTGTCTTTGATTCCGGGCGGATGAGCTCACACGTTTGATAGATGAAGGCCACAGGAAATTAAATCAGTGGCTTGGCCTGCAGGCGAAGACGCCAGGGAAGCTCGTGAATCATGTAGGACCGTGATTCATAATTCCGCGGGTTTCTCTAATCCCCCTGGCCTGGGAGGGTGGGGAGAGGGGAGGACCGTCCACCCCGGGAGTGACGGCGAGCGGGCCCGCCCCGTCCACACTGCTGAGGGATCGCGGCCCAGCCGTCCTTAGCGTGCATCAGAGCCGTCTTCCTGCGCCCTGTGCACCCAGCAGCCTGCTTCTGGGGCGGGGGTCTGTGCTCCCAAGGGGGCTTCGTCCTCGCCCGTGGAGCTGAGGAGCGGCCCGCGACCCTCTCGCCCGATGTGGGAACGCCGCCCCGCTGTCCGCCACCGTCGGGCTCTGTCTGTCCTTGCAGATGGGGCTGGCCCAGTGTGTCTTGTGTCCGGCAGACACAACGGAGCCCAGAACCCAAGGGGGCTCTCCCTGCTGGCACAACAGGTTAAAGCACAGCACTGTGAGGCAGCACAAGTTCGATCCCCCGCCAGGGAGGGACCCACGGGACACAGCAGACTCCTCCGGGCTCCCCGCTGCACCCCTGATGGTGGGTCTCCGTGCGTGGACCCACGTGTCCTGCTCAACACTGTGTTCTGCTGAGTCCTCTCAGGCCCTGAAGCACTGACCTGCCCCCAGTTCTTGTGCGCATCAACAATAATAAAAAGTGACTCAACTTCTCAGCCCCCTTCATAGAACGTGACAGCTTTCTATTGGTTTTCACATGGGAAGAGCCAGTTTCCCAACGGGCGGACACAGGGGCGGCTGGAAAGACAAGCGTGTGAGTCCCAACCACACAGGCTCGAAAAGACCTGGCTAGGCTCAAGGGAACACAACCAGACGATCCAGTATGGCCTTAGGATGGTCACTCACTGTTGGCTTGAACTTGAAACGCGGCCGGTTCCACCCAAGTCGCGTCATGATGGCCGCCACCACGGAGCATCTGGCGTCGTTATGTGCCAGTTGGTTCCTCTCCTTTCCGGGACCTTCCCGGCGCGACCTGCGCTCTGCGGTTTGCATTTCGCTCTCCCGTTGGCCGCCAGAAGCGTCTTCTCCTTCCCCCGTCTGCGTCCACGCCGGACGGGGAGGCGATCGTGCTTCGTCTGGCTCGGAAGTGCCCCAGCCAGCTTCATCATGTCAGAGCTGGTCAGGTGAGCTCACGGCGCAAGTCCCAGCGTGAAGTTGGAAGCAAGTGGAGGGTCCGTCTCTGGCGCCTGGAGCAGGCAGGGAATCCCAGGGCGCGTGGGAAACACTTCCCGTTTGTCTGACCTGTCTATTCCCCGACTCGACCACCGCTCGCCCCCGTCTTCATCCCACCATATCTGGGCAGAGCAGGAAAAACTGAACTCAAACAGCCGACACGTTAACACGGCCCTGCTACGTGTCACGCGCCCAGTGTCGACATAAGAAGCCACCAGCCCTGCGCCCTGCACGCCGGTCTCTATTCTGATGCCAGCGGCAGGGACATTACTTTGATGAGTGTGATTGGGCGACGTCCAAGCTGCGCCCGAGACGCTCTGTTACCTGTACCCGGGAGTGTTTCCAAGTGAAGGGTGAGACCCTCGCCGCGAAACGCTTGGTGCCCGATCGGGGCGGTCTGAGCTCCTTCCCTGAAGGATTCTCCACAATGGATTGTAAAAGCCACACACGAGCCCAGTTAATTAAATGAACGTCTCTCGGAAACCCGCGGAACAAGGTGGGGGGGGGGACTCCTGCGTTTAGACTGTGCTGGGGAACAAAAGCGGACTCTGAGACAGACGCCTGGCTCTTAGAAAGCCTCAGACGGCGGACAGAGGCAGACAAGATTTCTGCGCCTTTGCGCTTTCCTCAGGTGGATTTTGTAGCTGCAAAACGTAATTGTTCTCACTCAACTCTGATTGCGTCTCCGTTGATTGCTCTGAATCTAATAACCTCAGGGACTTTTATCTCGGGGCAACAGATTCGCACTTTTAAGTATTTTTTAGGTGTCTCTCGTTGCGCTGTGTGGGATCCACGGGTGTGCCTCCCTGCGGGACTGAGGGTCCCGGAAGGCCCCGGGGACAGCGTCTCCGTGGGCGTTTCCTTCCTTTCTACACAAATTCCGTCCAAAGCACCGTGTTTTCGCAAACCCTCATTCAATGTGCCCATAAAACCATGCAGAGTACGATGAATATTTCATGCGCATGAAACAAACACGATGGTAAATTAATCGGGTTCCCGCAGCGCCTGTCCCCCGCTGGCTGCTGACAGGGAGGTCGATCGGGTAATTCAGTCCGGGTGTGTCCCCCCTTCCCCCCCCCCCCCCCCCCGCGGCTGACCGCGTTTAAGCGATTAATTAGTGCGCTCCAGCGTCAACGCGGGGAACCGGCCACGTAGGCGGGATTCCTTATCGATTCCATGAAAAAGGCGAAAGCAGATGACACGGACGTGTGCACGCGACCCGCTCTCAAGCTCAGCGGGGCGTCGCCGAAGGGGGGTGACCCCGTCATTACTTCCGCAGAACGCGTTGTGCGGTTGAGTGAGGCGGTGGCTAGAACCGCGCGCAGGAAACGGGCGTTGGAACGGGCGTTGGAACGGGCGTTTGCGCGTCGGGGCGTCGCGCCGACTCCACGGAGACCGTGTTTCCGTCAGCCGCCTCGCCCGTTGTTAGCGCTGATGGAACAATGCTCCACCGCGTCGGGGCCCCCTGTTTTGTGAACTTTCAGGGGAGTCAGGATGTGTCAGCTGGGCACCGGGGCGTCGGGACGTTTGGGTAAGCGATGTCTGAAGTGATGCCGCTGACTGCGTTTGGGCTCAGAGCTAGAAGGGGCGGGAGACGCCAGAGTAAGCGCCCCGAGGGGAAGCCGTGACCAGTCATCACCAGCTACTGTGCGCCTAGGTGTTGCAATAACCATCGGAGAACCCCACAGTTCCAGTCACTCGCTGTCGCTCCATCCCTGACACGATGACCCTGGCGCTCCCCGGGCCTCGCTGGAGGCCCCACAGTGGCCGCCTCCCCCCCCCACACCTTCTGTAATGTGATCACACACCAAGTTTCTGGGGTCTCCCTGGGGGCGCAGGGGTGTGTCTCAGTGCCATGAGGTTCTGGGCAGCCCCTGCAGCACGAGGTGAGCCTGAGGCCAGGGGGGCACCCCCAGGGCTCAGCGGACCCTCCTGTCTGCCCACTGCTCCCCTCAGCCAGCCGCGGGTCTCCGTGGCTGTGCCTGGTCTGCTCCCCGCTCTGTCTCTGGGGGAGTCCCCTCACCCCTGCACCTCTGGCCTGCACCTCAGCTCTTGTGTGCACCAGCAAATAAGTCAAGAGTTTCTTCATGCAGCCTCCACCCTGGACACTGTTGATGAGAAATAGTCACGTGTGTGTGTGCATGGGGTAACCCCGTTGATTTCATGAGCAGTGTCGCGCGTAGTGGGCTCCACCGGACACTTTCTGGGGTCAACCTCTCCCTACAAGGCGCCTCCTGACATAAATCCCCCCAGAGCTGGGGGCTCGCAGTGCCCAGCTGTTGAGCCCCAAACGGGCTCACGGACTTGCACTCCCAGCCGGGGGACACGCACGGCTCCCCGGGAAGCTACGCAGCCCCGCGGGGAGCCCTCTTGTGCCGGGATTACTTCTCCCTGCTGCAGGCGTGGCTCTTCCCACGCCTCCCGGCTTATTTGTTCAGCGGCCGATGTTGCACAGAGGCGACGTCCCGTCAAAGACGCCGGCGCTAATGGGTCCCACCGCGGTCTACCGTAGACGAAGACTCTTCTGAGAAGCTGACGACACAGAGGCTGTCTCCGGAGAGTTTGCAGCAAGGAACGTGGTTTGGCGGCCTTAAACATATTTCCTTCGAGACAAGGGCTGCGTCAATATTTTGCAGAAGCAGAGAAACAATTCCCCGGTAAACCCCAGACTCCCGTGGAGTTTGGATGCAGGTGAGCGTAGGGCTGAGCGCAAAATCATGTGCAGAGACATTTGATTGGGTTGATCAGGGTGTGAGCGGGGCCCTCCCAGTGGTCCCGCTCTGTCTCCGGGGCGGGTGGCACCCAGACTCCTCAGCCCGAGCCACGCAGCACAGCTGAGACCCGCTCTCGATGCGGGACCCCGTGGTGGGGGAGACGACCTTGCTCGCAGACGCGAGGACCGGCGAGACTCGGGGGACGCAAAGCCAGCGTTCGGGCGAGCAAGCACGAGCGCTCGGAAGCCGTTTAGAAGAACGACGCGATTAGAGCCTGGAAATCGGTCGATCGTCCGCGTCAACCTCGGTGTAGCGTCCACCAGTCACGGTAAACTCACTGGCGAGACGGCCCGGCGCGCAGCTCGCAGATTGTTGCTCGAGATGTGCCTTGACGCTGTCTCAGAACGATTCGATTTTAATACTGACGGATGCAACGTAAACACAGAACGATATTACTTTCTTCTAAGGGGAACACTGTAGTGAATAACATGCTGGAAGATGGGGTTAGCGGTATCCAGGCCGGGAAACTGTGGGTGCTGGTCCGGGCTGAGAGGGCGAGTTTCACGTGGCTTTAGAAGAGCGAAATCAGGTGAGAACGCAAAGCTTAGGCTGCTCACCCCCACCAGGACATGGCTGTTATTCAGAAGGGGAATATCTGTACCTGACAGAGGTTACATGGCTGTTTTATTTTCAATTAGACAGTGAGTAAGGAGTTCCAGGTAAAGGTGGTTGAATTTAAAATTTCCTTTAAAGCACAGACAGGTAGGTAGATAGAAGATTAAGTGGATGGATGCTTCATGATGGATGGATGATGGATGGAGGATGGTGGATGATGGATGGAGGATGGATGATGGACGGTGGAGGATGGATGGATGGTGGATGGATGGAGGATGATGGATGGTGGATGGGTGATGGATGGATGATGGTGGATGATGGATGGATGGTGGATGATGGATGATGGATGGATGATGGGTGGATGATGGATGGGTGATGGATGGATGGTGGCTAGATGGACAGTGATGATGGAGGGTGGTTGGGTGGTGGGTGGATAGATGGATGGTGGGTGGATGGATGATGGATGGATGATGGATGGTGGATGATGGATGGATGATGGATGGATGATGGGTGATGGATGGATGATGGATGGTGGATGATGGATGGATGATGGAGGATGGATGGATGGTGGATGGATGATGGATAGATGGTGGATGATGGATGGATGATGGATGATGGAGGATGGATGGATGGTGGGTGGATGATGGATGGATGATGGTGGATGATGGATGGATGGTGGGTAGATGGACGGTGGTGATGGATGGTGGTTGGGTGTTGGGTGGATAGATGGAGGGTGGGTGGCTGGATGATGGCTGGCTGGCTGGCTGGACGGGCAGATGGATGGTGGGGGGACGGATGGACGGATGATTGATGACGGCCGGCTGGCTGGCTGGACGATGGCTGGGTGATGGGTGGATGGGCGGATGGGTAAATACTAAAATGGAGAGAAAACTGCCATTTTATAATGAGAATGAAAATACTATATTTTCCTCCTGAACTAGGCGGAGACACTGAATTCCGTGGGCTGGTTGTGGTAACAGCACGTTCTCAGTAAGACATGGCCGGATCTCGGCATTTCAACGACAGCTCCCTGAACCAGCCAGAGTGCTAATGACGGTGAGTGCAAACAGTTGCTCAAATGTGAATGGATTCGTGATTGCACGTTGACATTTCTGCGCCGACAATGATTATAGGTTTTGCTGAACCGTGTTAACTGTGCCTGGAAATTACATACATGTGCGCACACACGTGTCACTTGCAGGTGGCTACCAGCAGTTCCGCAGAATTCACTCAAGGGATAAATATATCGGTGGAATGGCAGATCGGGGTGTCGCGGCCGTGACTATTTCTGCCCGTCTCTACGTGCCTGACGCAGCCCAGGTGCTACTTTAGGGTCTCCCCTACCAAAGTGTGTATTTAGCCATCTCATGTCTACACAGCGGGAGCTGAGTCGCCTGGGCCCCGTCGTTCGTGAACATTATCTGTCCGTTGGACGAATAGAGCTACAGCACATCCGTATAATTAAACCAGATACATACAAGGAAGCTGCCAGTCAGCATCATTGAATTCTGTGTCAGAAGGTAGGTGCATGGGGCCCCCGGGCGCACAGGGGTTAAGTAATCTCGGACCGTGAAGCTGTGAGTCCATCCCCTGCTGGCCAGGCAGGGGCCCCCCGGGGCACA